TTTACTAGTGTTCATTCAACAAAATGGACTTTTATTTAGATTCACTTGTAAATAATACTTCTGATTCATTGAATCTAAATACCTTTTAAAAACAACATTGTATACCTATATTGAACACTCCTTTAATTAAATTTGAGAATTCAAACTTTGCTTAATCATTAAGTTAAGACATATAATCATTAATCAAACTTAATATTAACAATTAACTAGAAATCAAAGACCAATAATTAAATTAAACTAATCAATTAAATCTCAAACCATTCACTTATCAATTAATCCCACAATATAAAATTTCATAAACTGAATAGTGTTATACAATAGCTATTAATGAAGATTGTTCAATATTATTAGTTGGATGTAATTAACAAATAAAAGTATTTGAATTCAAGTAAGGAATCACCAAACAAACTTAAATTATAAGTGATTATTAGAATAATGCATATACTTTAAACTTCATGAAGAAATCAAATTAGTTTATATCTGGGAGTTAAGATAGTTCTATGATTATATGGTAATTAAATTAAAATAATTATTGGATTCCCTTACACAAATTAAATGAACATACTGGTTCTATCAGATGTCTAATATTAAATAACAATGAAGATTTAATTGTATCAGGAAGTGTAGATAATACAATTAAATTTTGGATGAAAACGAATGAATGGTCATGTTACTAAACAATCAAAGATCATTCTAGTTCTGTATATGGTTTGAGTTTGAATTTATAATAAAATAGAGTTGTATCTTGTAGTTGGGATAAATCAATATTAATAATGGAACAATAAGGACAGAATAAAGAATGGATTGTAATATAAAAGATTACACTTGGATATAATGCATATAGAGTATGCTTTATTGATAATAATATGTTCACATTATCATTATATGAGAAAGAATAGATATCTATTTTTGAGATGAACAGTACAAATCAATAGTTTACAAAGACTACAGATATTCAAGTAAAATGTGAATAAGATAGGAATAGTTTATTTCCTTAATAATATATAAATTCAAAATGCATTCTTGTGAGTAAGAATGGCTAATATGTCAATTTGATAAGGAAAACATTAAATGGACAGTTTGTAACTCAATAATCTATTCATTTTAATACAAATTCATTATTTGGAGTAATGAGTGATAATGGAGATTATTTGATCACTTGGGATGATAAATCAAAATAAATCCAAATCAGAATATATTAACAATTATGAAAAATATTACATTTAATTATTATAATTACAAAAGGAAGAAATTTTAATTTTTCTTCTAAAATACAAGAAAATAGGAATTTCGAAGTATTAATTGGATTCAAAAAAAAGGATATTGAGGAATAACAACACAATAAAGAACATTTAAGAATATTTTATCGTATTCTATAAAAATAAAATATAAAATAATTGTTTTGTGGTGTCATAAATGGCGTGTCTTGATGATTTACCTCTTGAGCCTCCCCTGATATCTGAGGAACTAAGGCAGACCCAGAATGGATACGATGACATAGGAAAAGGCAACAAAAAGGGGAACGCGGTGAGATTCTAAGAGGAGGCCCCCATAGACCCGGTCGGGCCTATATGCCCGGAGGAGGATTTTAAATTGAATGTTGAAATACAATAAATCTTAATCGTTTGATTCTATTCGATAATTCAAATCAATTCTAACCATTTTTCTCAGTCCATAAATATCAATTAATTTATGTATTACTTCCAGAATTATTAAATCTAATATATAAAACTCCTTTTTAAAATTAGTCATAATTTAAAAAAACCATTTTCTAGTATTGTAAGATTCATAATGAATAGTCATGATTATATATATTGTGAAGTGAAAATTTATGTCATTTGCCAGGTAAAATTTTTCTTTTGTATGGTTCGCATTCATTCTTAATCAGTCTTCTGATTCTTTCTGCCNTAAGATAGGAATAGTTTATTTCCTTAATAATATATAAATTCAAAATGCATTCTTGTGAGTAAGAATGGCTAATATGTCAATTTGATAAGGAAAACATTAAATGGACAGTTTGTAACTCAATAATCTATTCATTTTAATACAAATTCATTATAAGGAGTAATGAGTGATAATGGAGAGTATTTGATCACATGGGATAATCAATCAAATTAAATACAAATCAGAACATATTAATAATTATGAAAAATATTACATTTAATTATTATAATTACAAAAGGAAGAAATTTTAATTTTTCTTCTAAAATACAAGAAAATAGGAATTTCGAAGTATTAATTGGATTCAAAAAAAAGGATATTGAGGAATAACAACACAATAAAGAACATTTAAGAATATTTTATCGTATTCTATAAAAATAAAATATAAAATAATTGTTTTGTGGTGTCATAAATGGCGTGTCTTGATGATTTACCTCTTGAGCCTCCCCTGATATCTGAGGAACTAAGGCAGACCCAGAATGGATACGATGACATAGGAAAAGGCAACAAAAAGGGGAACGCGGTGAGATTCTAAGAGGAGGCCCCCATAGACCCGGTCGGGCCTATATGCCCGGAGGAGGATTTTAAATTGAATGTTGAAATACAATAAATCTTAATCGTTTGATTCTATTCGATAATTCAAATCAATTCTAACCATTTTTCTCAGTCCATAAATATCAATTAATTTATGTATTACTTCCAGAATTATTAAATCTAATATATAAAACTCCTTTTTAAAATTAGTCATAATTTAAAAAAACCATTTTCTAGTATTGTAAGATTCATAATGAATAGTCATGATTATATATATAACAACTCTGTTTAAAATGTTAATTTAATCGCAAATCAAGAATTGAAAAGGTTCTCACTTAAAATATTCTGTCTTACCTATGTTTACTCAAGACTAAATAATAGATTGAATTTTAATCATAGGTTTAATGGTAAGTTAGTTAAGAAGTAACTCTAGGGTTATTCAGGAACTCCAGAGATCCAAGCTAAGATGTGTTATGATTTAATTGAATTGGATCTGGAAAACCAAGAACTTAGTTAAACGGAAAGAAAGTTTTAAGTCCATTCGCAAAAGGAATAGATTATGAGTAAAGAAGTAAAGAGTTTAATTCAAATTGAAATATGTCCTTATTTTTTTAATGGTTAGACATAAATATTAATGAAGAAGGTTAATATCTGCGAAGAAGGAAGTCAGATTGATAAAGGATCCACTATCTTTTAAAAATAATTCAAATATTTTGAGATTTATACTGAATTAGATAATTGGTTATACAAATTAGTGATAAGGAATTTAGGTTATTTTAATGTGAGAATTATTAGCTATATCTATGTAAAAACATTAAAGTTATGAATTAATTCATACAAATTGCAAAATTTGCTATCGTTGTTATATTGCCATTACATACAGTATTTTAGTATTTTGAATATATACATCTATCGAACAAACACAATTTAACTATTGTTGATAGCAATCCTATATTTTTATTCAAAAACAAGATATAAAATTTTGAATAAGCTGATGGTGGCAGTCAGAAGGATATTTTTTTCTATACTCTAAGCATATGACCTACTCGGAGAAATCATTTACATTTGTTAAAGCATTTTCTTGTCCACATTAGATATTTGTTAATGAAATTTTCAATTTCATCATAGATTTACTCCTTCTATTTACTTTAATTGGGTATTTCTCTATTGATGAAGTTTCAAGCCAGCCATAATTATGGTTCAAAATATTATGTAATATATTCAGAAAAACAAAAGAGATTTTATAAGAAATTAAAGTCAAAAATTACATAAGGATGAATTATTCGTAGTGTTTAATTTATTAATACTTTAACGATTATAGTCATATTTAGAAAGTAATGCATGATTTGATCCTTCATACCTTATGTTTANATAAGGAGTAATGAGTGATAATGGAGAGTATTTGATCACATGGGATAATCAATCAAATTAAATACAAATCAGAACATATTAATAATTATGAAAAATATTACATTTAATTATTATAATTACAAAAGGAAGAAATTTTAATTTTTCTTCTAAAATACAAGAAAATAGGAATTTCGAAGTATTAATTGGATTCAAAAAAAAGGATATTGAGGAATAACAACACAATAAAGAACATTTAAGAATATTTTATCGTATTCTATAAAAATAAAATATAAAATAATTGTTTTGTGGTGTCATAAATGGCGTGTCTTGATGATTTACCTCTTGAGCCTCCCCTGATATCTGAGGAACTAAGGCAGACCCAGAATGGATACGATGACATAGGAAAAGGCAACAAAAAGGGGAACGCGGTGAGATTCTAAGAGGAGGCCCCCATAGACCCGGTCGGGCCTATATGCCCGGAGGAGGATTTTAAATTGAATGTTGAAATACAATAAATCTTAATCGTTTGATTCTATTCGATAATTCAAATCAATTCTAACCATTTTTCTCAGTCCATAAATATCAATTAATTTATGTATTACTTCCAGAATTATTAAATCTAATATATAAAACTCCTTTTTAAAATTAGTCATAATTTAAAAAAACCATTTTCTAGTATTGTAAGATTCATAATGAATAGTCATGATTATATATATAACAACTCTGTTTAAAATGTTAATTTAATCGCAAATCAAGAATTGAAAAGGTTCTCACTTAAAATATTCTGTCTTACCTATGTTTACTCAAGACTAAATAATAGATTGAATTTTAATCATAGGTTTAATGGTAAGTTAGTTAAGAAGTAACTCTAGGGTTATTCAGGAACTCCAGAGATCCAAGCTAAGATGTGTTATGATTTAATTGAATTGGATCTGGAAAACCAAGAACTTAGTTAAACGGAAAGAAAGTTTTAAGTCCATTCGCAAAAGGAATAGATTATGAGTAAAGAAGTAAAGAGTTTAATTCAAATTGAAATATGTCCTTATTTTTTTAATGGTTAGACATAAATATTAATGAAGAAGGTTAATATCTGCGAAGAAGGAAGTCAGATTGATAAAGGATCCACTATCTTTTAAAAATAATTCAAATATTTTGAGATTTATACTGAATTAGATAATTGGTTATACAAATTAGTGATAAGGAATTTAGGTTATTTTAATGTGAGAATTATTAGCTATATCTATGTAAAAACATTAAAGTTATGAATTAATTCATACAAATTGCAAAATTTGCTATCGTTGTTATATTGCCATTACATACAGTATTTTAGTATTTTGAATATATACATCTATCGAACAAACACAATTTAACTATTGTTGATAGCAATCCTATATTTTTATTCAAAAACAAGATATAAAATTTTGAATAAGCTGATGGTGGCAGTCAGAAGGATATTTTTTTCTATACTCTAAGCATATGACCTACTCGGAGAAATCATTTACATTTGTTAAAGCATTTTCTTGTCCACATTAGATATTTGTTAATGAAATTTTCAATTTCATCATAGATTTACTCCTTCTATTTACTTTAATTGGGTATTTCTCTATTGATGAAGTTTCAAGCCAGCCATAATTATGGTTCAAAATATTATGTAATATATTCAGAAAAACAAAAGAGATTTTATAAGAAATTAAAGTCAAAAATTACATAAGGATGAATTATTCGTAGTGTTTAATTTATTAATACTTTAACGATTATAGTCATATTTAGAAAGTAATGCATGATTTGATCCTTCATACCTTATGTTTAGTTTCAGCATATGGGAATAGAAAGCTTACTGGTATTTCTGCGATGTGGTTGCAAAGTCAAATCCAAAAAGAAGATTAAAGTTTCTGTATTTGTATATTTTTCGATTCAACATATATAAGAAATGTTGAAGTATTGATACTTACCTATGATTTCGCCAATATTGTATGTAGGTCCCTTCGTCCCTTTATCAAGGCCTCAAAGTTAATCCTAATTTTTAGGAATCGGAAGTGAATTAAATTAAGGAAAGCTACTTCTTAATAATTTTAATTGTTAATTTAAAAATAAATACTAAAATCAATGTGAATACAATATTTTCCCTTAACCTTAGTTCTATTTTCAAATGATTATTCGTTAAACTAAGATTTAACATCTGATTTTATTAAATTTGGATTTTGGAATGGAAGATGTAGAATTTTAAATTATTAATTATCTTTTTCCTATTTAAAATCATTAACAGCAAATGAAAAATACTTTTACATGATTTATGAAATTTTTTAGATTTTTTTCCCAATTCTTACAATATTATTATTGTAAATAGAGTTCCATGATCATATTTAATATCACTTCCATAAATATTCAGTTATATTATTTTAATAATATTTTAATGTATCAATTCAGATAGTTAGACAACTTACACCTACTTTCTCTCTCTCTAGCACAGTTTATACTTTTTCTACCTCTACTTGCTCCTTAATCCCTCCCAATTTTTAAATTTAGTCCATTCTTCGCTGTGTAGTTCAACATAATTCGTATTAATACTTATCATAATTCTCAATCCACTTTTATTTTTCATTTATTAGGTCTCTACTTTTTTCAAACTGTTATTGGAATTGGATTCCTTATTCTGATGCAAATTTCTTTCCTATTATTAAGGTCCATCACAATTGTTCTTTCTTTCCAAGATTTGAGCACCTTCTTATTTGCACTTCCCTTACAATAGTATTTTTAATTAAATCCAAATTAAGATAAACCTAAATATTCTTACACTTCACTTCTGATTGATTATAATCTTTTTCTCTAGGTTTATTTATTGTAAAGTGCATAGAAAATGATCAAGGAGTCATCTATGGTTGTAGAACTTATGATTTAAAATACTCAATTTTAATTAGGAGTGAAGATATATTTGTATAAATATATTGTTAAAGGTTTTTGGTATTTGGAATTGGCTACAGCATTATTGTACCAACAAAATTTTTGAAAATTGAAGATTAAAATGACTTTAAGGAAAAATAAAGAATTATTACACTCTTAATAGAATTTGATCATTTACATACATCATTTTGTAATTATAATAATTAAATGTAATATTTTTCATAATTATTAATATGTTCTGATTTGTATTTAATTTGATTGATTATCCCATGTGATCAAATACTCTCCATTATCACTCATTACTCCTTATAATGAATTTGTATTAAAATGAATAGATTATTGAGTTACAAACTGTCCATTTAATGTTTTCCTTATCAAATTGACATATTCGCCATTCTTACTCACAAGAATGCATTTTGAATTTATATATTATTAAGGAAATAAACTATTCCTATCTTATTCACATTTTACTTGAATATCTGTAGTCTTTGTAAACTATTGATTTGTCCTGTTCATCTCAAAAATAGATATCTATTCTTTGCCATGTTCTGATAATGTGAACATATTATTATCAATAAAGCATACTCGCAATGCCCATTATTCAAGTGTAATCTTTTATATTACAATCCATTCTTTATTCTGTCCTTATTGTTCCATTATTAATATTAATTTATCCCAACTACAAGATACAACTCTATTTTATTATAAATTTAAACTTAAACCTAATACTTAACTAGAATGATCTTTGATTGTTTAGTAACACGACCATTCATTCGTTTTCATCCAAAATTTAATTGTATAATCATAACTTCCTGATACAATTAAATCTTCATTGTTATTTAATATTAGACAATATATAGAACCAGTATGTCCATTTAATTTGTGTAAGGGAATCCAATAATTATTCTAATTTAATTACCATATAATCATAGAACTATCACTCCCAGATATAAACTAATTTGATTTCTTCATGAAATTTAAAGTCCATACACGATTCTTATGGTCACTCAAAATTTAAGTTTGTTTAGTGATTCCTTACTTGAATTCAAATACTTTTATTTGTTAATTACATCCAACTAATAATATTGAACAATCTTCATTAATAGCTATTGTATAACACTATTCAGTTTATGAAATTTTATATTGTGGGATTAATTGATAAGTGAATGGTTTGAGATTTAATTGATTAGTTTAATTTAATTATTGGTCTTTGATTTCTAGTTAATTGTTAATATTAAGTTTGATTAATGATTATATGTCTTAACTTAATGATTAAGCAAAGTTTGAATTCTCAAATTTAATTAAAGGAGTGTTCAATATAGGTATACAATGTTGTTTTTAAAAGGTATTTAGATTCAATGAATCAGAAGTATCATTAAGAAGTGAATCTAAATAACAGTCCATTTTGTTGAATGAACACTAGTAAATTGATTAATCACATATATTACTTCAATCTGATTTTATACATCTTCAAAGCATTCGATAATCTGTTTTTGATAAACATCGTTTCTTGTTCCTACATTTTTATTCATTTCTCTATTACTTTTTATTTATTTATTACTCATAAACAATTAATTATATACCAATTATTTATACACAAATCAATTAATCTCATTAATCTACTTAAATTATTTTGAAATGGTTGTGTAGAAATTTAGTTTCTTGCTTTTCCTAATATTCTAGATAATCTCCAGCTCTTAAAAATTGTAACTCTTAAAGCATATTTAGTTTTAATATCCTTTGTGAAATTCAATTCCAATTTTAAGTTTCAATTGTTTTCTCTAAATTGCATAACTTTAACACATATATCTCAATAAAGGTTGTAATTTCATAGAGTGGGTTTTCAGAATTTATTTATTCTATTTAAAGATGCTATAAAGTTGAATCAGAATTGAGAGATTAGTAAGTTGAGTTTTGATGCTCAATGCCAGTGCCCCAATTTTAATATCATGAAGACTGTTCAAAGGCAAAAAAAAATTGTGATATTTAGGCAAAAGAAAATTCAAACATTATTATAGAAGAAGTGATTAAGAAAGGCATTTATTTTGAGAGGCAAAAAATTACATTATAATTCATATTAACTTAGAATAAACTATAATTGGAAAAATTATGATTTATTCAAATAATTTGGAAATAGGATTATTTAATTATTTTAAAACACTTCTTGACAAATATAGTTGTCCCCATGAGGTGAGTTTATGGAGCAAAATATTGATGAATTTCTTTTGACAGAAACTTTCCAATAAGTTTATTAAATTCATAAGTGTCTCCATTTTACCATTTTAGATTCAAGACAGAGTAAAAACAATAATCTTTATTAATTAGTTCATAATGAATCAACTACCTTTAATCTGAACCTTTTAATATAAATGAAAGAAGTAAATTTTACAACAATAAATATTTTACATTTTGTATACTTTATGAATTTTCAAAACACAAATTATATCAGCATTCAAAATTAGAATTCACTTCTAGAATTATTTTTCAAAAATTTAACATAATCAAAATAATTTTAAAATCTTTAAATCATTTTTTTCAAGAGTTAAAATACTGGTATTCATTATGTGTGCATCATAAAGTGTTATATAACTTTTCATAACAACTATAGATTGAATAGGTTTTTCATTATTCATCAAATATTTGGAAATGAAGTATTTTTTCTCTCATCATATTAACCTTAGATAAATTTGTGCAACCGCAAATCAGGTTTCATAATGAAGGTAATGCAAGTTTTTCACTGAGTTATTTTACTTCGCAAATACTGAAATTTACTATCTGATCATGAAAGATATGTTATTGAGGAACTCATTTGACCCTTTTTATAATATCTTTCACTTTTAAAGAGGGAAAGCCGATCATGATTTCTTAAATTTTGATGGAGAGGACTTAGTTGTTGATGTTGAAGTAATCGACAAGAACTATTTAATATCAAAATGGAGAGTTAAGATAGAGGCAAAATCCTTGTTTGTTTATCAGGCTGTAAAGTAAGAGAATTTTTTTGCAAAATCAAACTAATTTAGTAAACCTATAATTCATGAAATTACATTCAAAAGTAGCATGAATTGAGATGATGTTTGAAGTCAATCGCAACTTATAAAAGAGAAGTGCTCAAAGATTGGCTTTCATTTTGTTTTACATGCGGAGTTAATTACCGTTATTCGGAATTTCTATAAAGTAATTTGATTAAAGCAATTAGAAAATATCATTAATTATTTGGCTTTAATATTAAATTTTGTGATTAGAAATTTAACCAAATTCTACCTATATGTTTTAATCAGAGTATTATCTTTTTTCGATCAGTATTTGATTATTTGATTGATGATGGCTAATGAATATACTCATCTATCTTATTAAAATCATTAGATACGTTTTGAAAATTAATTTTTATTCGATGTTTATAACTTTATGACTATTTTTATCAATTCAGACTTATTAAGGAATATATCAGATATCCATCAAACTTAATTATACCATGAAATATCATTAACACCAGCTAAGAGTGATCTTTCAAACTTTCAACTATTTACTCCTATTGAAAAAATCACTAATCTAATAATAAGGAGATATGCATTTTTTAATATTAATTCAGAGCACTTCTGATATATAGCTTCTTTTCTCTTACTAAGGCTTGGTTTAATTTTAATTATATTACTTATCTGATCTTTGTAAATTATCCCTAATAGTTTATGTAACTTTTTGTTCATTCAAATAAGGTTTATCATACCTTCATCAATTTTAACTTGTTATGCTTTTTCTTCCTTCTATATTTTTAATATTTAATCACTCTTATTTCCTTGATGAGAATTCCTCCACCTTTGCATCACTAGATATATTAAAATACTTCTTTATTGTATAATTAGGTTTTGATTATCAAATGCTGTTAATTTTAGAACTTTTTCCATGCATCCTTAATTGAAAATAAATTCAAAAGTACATCTCCCATCTCCTCGTTTAGATACGTCAACTTTGGAGTTGACCTATTAGATATTATACAGGATCCCCAATTTAATGATAATACAATTTCAATCCCAATAAGTTTTAAATAATTCTTTAGTACATAAAAAACTTTTTGAGATCTAGATGAATCATCTGACATAATTGTTTCATATGAGTGCCATACAATAATGTTGGTAAAATTATATTTGATACATTATAATTAAGAGCTTAAGTACGATTCATAATGCTTTTATTTAGTACATCAGCCCAAAGTAATCTTGGCTGGAAATTAAGAAATGCTATATTATTTGCTGAATCAGTTTGAATTAAAATAATTATTATAAAAATTCTCAGGTTTTAGTGAAAATGTAAGAGGAATATCTCCTAATTCTCCTATAAATTGCTCACAATCCACAGTTTATTGATTTTGAGAATATAAATATATCTACCTTTTAGTAAGATAAATGGCTAATTTTTACTTTAAACAGTTTACATTTTGCATGAAATATTTAATATCAATATAAATATTTAAAAAGATTTTTTTTGCTCTTTATATACATAGGTATCATAAAACTCACCTTCATTCTATTAAATCAAAACTTTATATTTTTTATAAATCTTTTGCGTTTGAATTGGTTCTGAGTATATCTCATTCAATTTTTGCCTTCTGAATGGAAGCCAGATGATCCTTTTTGGATCTAGAAATTTATCCTTTAACATTTTTGGGGATTTTGTGGTATGTTGTGGCTTTAAGGGATCAAGTGATAGAATAAGGATAATAATGGACGAGAGCCTAATGGGTGATGTATTTACATACACTCCTGATTAATCAAGGATATCAAATGATAAAAGGACAGGATCATCAGTTGGAACATAAAAGGTATCATATAACTATTGCAATACTTTAAACAATTAAATTGTTCTATTTTAAGAATTGAATTTGATTTGGAGTTATAAGCAACAAAATGGCTTCGAATTTGAACTCTTTATAGTATAAAGTATTTCTTCCAACTTAAGTATATTGAACTAAAATTTAATTCCAACTTAGAACGTGAACATAAGTTTTATTCATGGCTTAGGTAGAAGCAGAAAAGATTACAAAACAAGTCTTGATTTGCGAACTATAATTAGCCTTGTAATTATATATTTTTCTTAAAACTTCTTTGGTGATTATAATTGATTTAATCATAATTAAGGTTTTTAGAATTCCTCAGAAGCTTTCATCAACTTGAGTCTTCCCACAATACTAAAATTTTTAATTGAAGATTAATTTTTTAATTTTTCTGATTTGACAAAACATAATTTGTTAAAAAATTTTCTGTTGTTTCTTGAAATTTAATGAGCGTTCAAAGATCAGAAGAGTACACTCCCTTTATTTTAAGTCCAAGGTTATTATGGTTCTTAATATATTTGAGATTAAAGCATCAAGCATAACTTATCTAGTACCAATTGATTTAAAACTCTAGAGTTACTTCTACTTAAATTCCATTCATATTGTTTCTACTTAGAACCTACATCATTTTTCAATAATTATCGACCATAAAAGATTGGAACCCTTAATATAAGACGTTTAAAGAGATTATCCAAATCTAAGCTAATGTTTCCAGATAGGAGTTTGGATTTCTATGAATTAGAGTTGCTCGAATGGAGACTAGTATTTGAAAATTCACTATTAATTGTAAATACTTTAAATATAATGCCATTTGTCATTATAATCAGTTAGTATAATTAATATATTTTATAATTATTTGATCCATTCACCTTAGTAGTTCAACTAGAAACTGGCTAATTGAATTCATATATTCCCTTTCTGAACAATTCAACTTAATATTTTGAAAGTTTTGCTCAAACTTATTTCTATATATTTTTAGTTAATTAGATTTTGTTCTTAGATCTCTTCAATCTATAAATTATTTCCAAACAGCTTTTTATATTTAATCGCACGACCAAATCTCTTAATACTCAAC